TAATGTCGACCACAAGTGTAAATGCTGTTATAGGTATATACGAGCATTTCGACGACTTTAATAAAGACTTCTACTTCTTTTTATTATTACTTCTATTAGACATGGAAAAAAATAACTTTGCTGAAGTATTCTAAACATTTAGGTAAATGTATATGCACTTAAAAATGTAGATACAGATTTACGCTAGGCCAATGTTTGTATAATTCTCACCGTGTTGGTTTGGTACAAACATCAACATGAAGTGGATTTAACCATTGTGGATTTAACATCCTGATTTAAGGGGATTCTATAATGAAGCAAATTACCGATATTTCGTAATTCTAAAATATCTTTAAATTGGCTTTGCAGAATTGCAAAATTCTTCTACATGATTAAAACACGCACAAAAATCAACTATACATCGACGTGTAATCTGTGACCAAAAACGAAGAAAAATAAAAAAATGTCACTTATTTTTGGCATGTTATACAGCCGATGATAATATTACTACTAGAATGTCAAAACTTTTTACAGCATTGTTTTTCACGTTTTTCTACATAATTATTTTAATTCGTCATAATTATCTTCAGATCTATATTCACCTAAAATTTTAGATACTTTAGCAAAATCGTTTTTTGTTTGTACAATTATTTGTGCGAAAGTCTATAACACGCAAATTGTAGAAGTAAAGTCGCAACAATTCTTACTATGTATAACATTAAATTATTATCCAATTATTCTTACAAATGGCTCGATTATTGCTCGTTGAATTATCGTGAGTTCGTACACAAAAAGATTTTGCTAAAATATCTAAAATTTTGCGGAATATACAAATCTGAAAACAATTTGTTGGACTGCTAAAATAATTATGTTGGAAATTAAAAAATTATGAGCAATGCTGCATAGAATTTTTAATATACTAGCAACCACAGTTTAAGTTTCCAACAAAATTTTACTTTCAGATCTGTATCTAACGAACTTTAGATGTTTCGTCAAAACCATTCTTTTCGTGTAATCCGCGCGTTGCATCGCAGAGGGAAGATACGGCCGGAGCAAGAATCAAAGTGGTAAAGGCTGTATGCCTCGATGCACGTGGGGATAATCGCCTTACCCCAAGGAATGCACCGACGCAAATCTGCATTCTATGGATAGCACGAATGCCTACGGCGGCGCGTGGTTCCCATATCTCACGGCATCCGGAAACTTTGCAATTAACACGAGAACCCAACGCGGCCAATGCGTAAGAGACCGATAATGAATTTGGTTCAAAATGAGCGCCCCCGATATATCCGCACGCATAATGCATCTATATAAACGCTCGCGTAAGTAGACTCGCGTTACGAATCGATGGGATTTCCATAAGGAGGTAGTATCGATACTTACAATATTAGCATCGTGAGTTTTATTGCAATCGTAAAAGATGTCTGCCGCAAGATTTATTATGTTTACTGTGTAAACATTTGGAAACACTGGAATATGATAGATAGTAACCTTAGCAATGTTCCAACGCATTAATCATTCGTATATTTGTACACGCAAGCTCCATATAAATAATTACAGCTGCTTCAAATTAATAGGGGTAATTTTTACGGGAAAAATAGATATAATTCTCTTTCGTAAATTTTTTGAATATTATTATATTGTACTAATCTAATAATACATCTATAGGTATACGTTCTTTCGAATATTCTATAAGAAAAACGCTCAATGCGCTATAAAATTGTTTATTTTAAATGTCTAAATTTAAATTCGTTGTTCTGAATATTTCTTCTAATATCTATTAATAAGCCGTGAAATATGTTTGAGAGTTATTCTTCTTGAGAGTTTCGCTTCCCGTTCTCCCTTACATATCGCCATTAATTACGATGTGTTGAAACTTGATTTCGCGCGGAACTCAGAGGATGCTCGACCTCACGGGGTTAAGAAATTAGCCATAGCGGCACAACGCGCAGCGTGGCTTACGAAGCGAAATAACGACGAGTAGCTCCCAGAAATGCGAAACACGGTGGGAATTCGCGTAAGCGCGATCGTCCACGAGCCACAAAGTCGTAACCTGCAGTGCCACCGGCTACACGGGACAACTATGCACGTGCGCTGTGCTTGAGAAACAAGGAAAGAGAATGAGAGAGAAGGAAAGGGGATGGGAGAACCATCGTTTCGTCCAGCATATCTCTCGGTAGCTAACGCCACTCTGGTCATTAGTATCTATCTTCTCCGCGTCTCTTATCCTTCCTCTGATGCTCCAATCTACATAGATTTGTTCCACTATGCTCTGCTTCGTTTCGCTCGGATCTGTGACTTACTCAAATCTTCATTATTTATCGTTTAATTATAAAGTTGGAAATCGAGAAAAACATATGCAATGCAATGAATCTTCAATTTATTGTATTAATTTACTACAATAATTGTAATGTCTGGAATTTTTTTAAATTTTCTGAAAATATGCGAATAAAATGGTTTTACTGAAATATTTAAAAATTTAACTACATCTAAAAATAATTATGTTGAACTATCATAATAATTATGTAAAACACTTACAATGTTAATAACGATGCTGCAAAAAGTCTTAGAACATTCTAGCAGCCATTTTTAATCATAATTATTATATCTTGATGGTTCACAAACAATATTATTTTCAGATCTGCGGTTAAATTTTTAGATATTTTAGCAAAACTGTTTTTTCCCATGCATGAAATAAAAATCTTTAAAATTGTTTGAGTATACTTCGAAGTTTTAGTCCACAAGATTTCTTGACAATTCATAAAACGCGGCCACAATTGCGACATCACAGAACGAAGTCGAGGTATGTCCATAAAGAGCAGCGTTGTTACGACATATTGTTGAGTTTGTGCGCCATAGTATTATTAAAGAGACTAGAGTAGAGTAGAGAATTGGCAAACTTATTTTGCAGCAACTAACCGACCTGATTTAATTTAACGGATTGGAATCACTAATTAGCGCGAATTATTATTACCATACGATGCGATAATCATGGAACGCCGATTGGAAATTGTGATCAAGTACAAATTATTATAACCGTAGGTACAAAGTGCAAGCAAACACTATGAAATCTTATCAACGCACTTCAATCGCGATAGCCTTATCCCTTAACGAGCATTCCTGATCGGTATCCCCGTTATCGATCCTGGAAATCACGTTCGGAAGGTAGATGTACTCGTGATTATACATTTTATTGTACAAAGGTAGCATCGGGTTCATACGGATAAAAATACTAAAATACACGAAAACTGATTACGAAACGAGAAAATATTAATTCCTAGACGATTCTAAACGCATTGAGGTGGAACCAAGAAGGCGGAGCGAAGAAACAAAATAAATGCCAAAGTAGAATCGGCTAGAAAGTAGAAGGTATTATAAGACGCGGAGGGTAGACGCTAATAACCACGATAGCACTTAGCTAGTGAGAAAAGGAAGTACAAAGGATCAAATTCCATGATAATTTTGTCTTGCTCGGCACGTATGTTGTTTACGTAAGGAATACAAGACGCGATAGATCACTCCGAGGGATTTGTCGCATCGCGAATAAGTTATTCCATGCCAAAGTACAATGTTACCCGAAATCTCAGTGGGCATATCTCAATCCCGAAATAGTAGTTCAAATGTAACTACACGCAAGGAATTTAATCATTACTCATCAACGTCGGCTTAAAGTAGAAAACAACAGCAGGAAGTTGCCATGAGTGTAATTTTCATTCAACGCTGACTAATTCTAACAAGACGCGAGAGATCGAAGGAAAGAGGGAGAGCTGCCAATTTAACATTCGTTGACGATTCGAGGGAACCTGAACGAATTACGAGTTCAGCTGCAGCAGCACTGAAGTAACAAATCCCACCGCGGATGAGCCATTATGCTCAAAGGCAGTACGCCAGGCATTTCGCCGGCACATTGGCTGCTTTGAATTCAGATTGCACGGCCATGCGGCCTCCGCGTTTTTGTTCTTCCTCTTTCGCAGGCAATTTATGCAATCTGGCCCGCGTCGTGCGCGTATTTATAACCGCCGGCCCTTTGTGTGTTAATTTGTATTCGGGTATCTTGCGCGGAGAACGAATCGTGAATCTTCTCGATCTTTTTGATCGATTCAACGCACCTTCGCATCTTTGCATCTGCATTTTCCGATTTACAGGAAAGCAGGTTTCAGTTAAAAACATCAACTTATGCGTAATTAAAAGTATGATTAGGTTACGCTTTTGTGGCTTTCACGGGTATTTTCTTCAATTACCAGAAGGTTTGCGGGTTATCGCCGTGTTTTTCTTCGTTATTAATGCCAACATTTCGCGAACCATGCTGTTCACTTCATCATACGATTAGGTTAATTACAAATTTAATTTAAAATAATCTTTCTCACATATTTTTTTGTTACAAAAATATTGTTGAGAAAAATTTAATCTTGCTATAATCAAATATATAAAAGGACTATCCAGAACCTTTTTCACAAAAATAAATATATTATTTAAAAAGTATGTTCAATGTATGTCTATTTTAATCTTGATTATGTTGTTTTATAAAAATATTTTGTACATATTAAAATAAAACAATAATGTTAATAAAAACAGAATTAATTTCTTTCTTTAATTAACACCCTGTTGTAAAAATGATTATTGTACAAACATTATTTTAACTTTAAAAGGACTAAAAAAAACGTGTGATATGCGCAGGATAAATAACGCAGCAGGAAAGATCCGCGCCACAAGTTGGGGCGAGTGATCGACTTTGATCTCTGCGGTTTTTATAGAAGCATCCCGCGTCATGACTTGAGCTTTCGCGGCTGTCGCGACTCCTCCGCGGAAATCCCACAGAAATTGGAGCGAGATGCTGCTGAGAGACGGGAGAATTTCACGAGCGAGCGACCTCTCCGCGTCGCGTCTCGCCGAGGTGCAACGCACTCGTTCGAATAAAAGTTCCACGAAGAGGAGGCCGCTCGCTCGAATTGGCCCCTAATTTCTTTCCCATAACTAAGGAGGCACACTTTATGACCGGCGGCTCCCTTTTTCTGTTGCAGCGTTGAAGGTGAAGCTCATGCTGAGGCGACCCATCAATCAGCTGGTTGCGCAAGGCATCATGCCACGTAAGTGTTGATCCGCTTGTTTATTACACCGTTTATATACATTTTTTTTTCCTCTCTATGCCGCGGAAAATTGCGCTTGTACGACTCAGGGCTGTTAAAACTCTCGCTGATGCTCGCGATGGTTGTGATCAACGTAACTCTCGTTACGACCGTCATTGAACATCATTGCCGGCTAGTCTCTGCGGTCTTAAAAACGTCTTCGCCAACACGTGGGATCGATTGATACACGCACGAGTTAATTATCGCGCCGTTCTCAAGGATACGTAAGAAGTATAGGACTGATATCTAGGACACATCTAGATTGTGTAAATTGCTTCGCAACAATTAAACAAATTGACAATCAGTCGTTTTTTGTGAGATTTAAAAAGAAACGAATTAGGTCGCTTTTAAGTCGGTCAATTAATCTTGTAATAATTAAATCGGTCGTTCTAAAAAAAGACTTAATCTATAAGATAAATAAAGTTTTTAAGAGAAATTAAGTTTTCTTCTCTAAACAATTACAATAAATTTGTATTTTTTAAATATTGCTCCTTTTATACTTCAAAAGTATAACACTAAAGAAACATAAATTTGAATTATTATCATGAGTAGGTTAAATAAATATTATAACTTATTAATCATCAAAAGTGAACTAACTTTATAAAAATTGTTAAAATTATCACAACTTAGAAAGAATGATTTTTTTTTAAGATGAAAAAAAAATTATATAAATAATATTTGATCGTGTTAAAAATATATTTGTTTGTAGATATTATTTGGCAATAATTTTCTGTTAAGTTAAAAATAATTTTTCCTTCTTTCTGAGGAACTTTTAAAGTAAGTTGAGTCACTTTTAAAGTAATAAGGAACGAGATATGCAAATATAACATACCTATAGTTCTTTAAAACTTTTTATGAACACATTTTAATAGTTAAAGAATACTCAGTATTTTGCGTTTTATATATCTTGTAAAAGATGTGATGAGCACACTTTTTTTCATTCTCTTACAACGCTGTTTTCTGCATGAAACAAACGACTCGATCATTTTTCCTCATCATACCGCGGACTAAAATGAAGAAGTAAAAACACATTCTCGCGCGGCGTATGGTGTGCTCGCATCCGAAATCCCCGAAGCGATCAACGGCAGTCTAGTTGCCCGGTAGATTTACGATGGGTACCAAATGTTTACCAGAACGAGAGCACGAGCATCCAGTAATTATTTAGGTCACACCCTAAAATATTACTCTTGTTATCGTGTGCGCGCTGGCGCGTTTATAGCGCCTGGTATATCGTCGGTCTGATGAAAATACGCGGTTTGATAGGCCTCGTTCGACTTAATACGTAAAGCCGCGTGTGTGCACATGCATTTCTATGCCGTGCGCAGGGTTCATTCATCTGCGACTTTCTGGGGCTATAAGTTAAGCCCCGTATACACATTCGCGCGCCTGAAAACAATAACCGTTTTCGCAGAAACCGACTGATTACTTTAAAACTCCATTATCAGAAATTGATAGAATCCCGCGAAACATCTTTTTCAAGTAAAAATTTCGTCCGCTAATATTTTTTCTTTGTTTTTACTCTTTTTACTTGAACAACGTTATTTAAATATTAATGTCTTAATTTTCTCATACAATTTTGAAAGATATTTTCAGTTTCGTATTTTTTATTTACTATTACATATTCTTATTCTCTATTATATATATATTCTCTTATCTAGGAATTTATTAATTTATTATTTCGTATATATATATTTTTATATATATTATATATATGCTATTATTTTTATTATATTTTATAGACTTATGTGCTTTAAGGTTTATGCTGATGTCTCACTTTTTGAGGTGCACATTTTCCCCTTCTCTATTCTACTCTGTATCTTAACTCATATTATTCTTATTTTACACTCTTATGAAACTACACGTTTAATTAAAATTTTAATTACTTCTGAATATCGTTGAGTATGGATATTAGAGACACTGAAAAATATTCACTGAAAGGTAAAACATGATCGTTATAAATGCTAAGAATGCTAAGAATGCAAATTGAATACACTTATGCAATAATACGTTATGTTTACGACGGTATTAAATATCCGCCAAATTTGTTGCTTCTTCACAGTGAAATGTGCGCCAAATCGTACATCATCATACGTATTGCCATCGCAAGTACGAGCAAATGCAAATAGACACGTTTTTCTCCCGAGATGTCAATCGTCGTGTAAAAATTGCAGTACCTCTTGTTTTATTTTCCGAATCTTGAGCCTATTTCAATTGTGGAAAGCGACGTTTATTGCGGAAAATTAACGACGCCCCTTGGACAGTTCATCTGAGATTAGAATAGTCGTTGCAAGGACGTCGGATGTCCTTGGAGCTCATTTCAAACTTCTGATATCTCATTCGCGAAAGGAAATATCAAAATATTCTAGAAAATATCTGTCGTGTGTGGATTTAATTCTATGCGGCATACATTTTTCTATCAGTCCAATTTCATTTCAACGAAACTTGATATTCGGTAGATTTTTTAGGAAATTTTAATGTATGATATCATAACACTTTATAGAAGACTTAAATATTAAAAAAAAAAAAGAGTAAAAATATAATAAAACGTAAAAGTTTGTAAAAATCATTAAAAAATTGAATAGAGAAATATTAACACTAATATAATATATTTATCTAAAAATAGGCTATCAGTGCTATTTCAATGTCTCTTCACGTCGTATATGCAATACATAGAAGAGAGAGACACTAAGTCCATTATTATATTAACATACAAAACTGTTTATATTTTAGAAAAAAAACGATTGAACTTTCAATCTATGTGTGTTTGACTAAAACTCTTTTACTTAATATAATTTCTATTATTTACTAAATGTTGAATAATTTTTTTTTAACATCTCATGTATCAATACCATCATGGTATGAATTTAAAATAACCCATATCATTGAATCAAAGGCATATTAGCGTTTACCAACACAATAAGAATTATACAATTTTCACATAATATTAAATCTGATATTTTTTAGAGTTAATGACTTCGAAAAGGAAGTGACGCCAACGCGGGGCGACTCATTTCACGATCGCAATTACTTGAAAGAACAAGGCGAGAAACATACATAATGCGAAAAGATGTAAATTATAGATCGGTCCATAAATGATCTTATAGTATCCCACTTTAGTGCGATCTTCCGCGCGAGAGATCAGAAACCCCCTACCTCCCATTACTTTTTTATTTTCCCTTCGTACCTTCACAAAAGTACCGTAAATTCTCCGTAACGAGCCGAAGAGTAATATCCGACGAGGAACGCGTTGCATCTTTCGCGGCCGCGACGACGAGCAAGGGAATTACATCCACGATTAATCTCGAAGACGCTAAAAAAAACTGGCGACGGGGAAAGAGCCGGACGGCGTGCCCCGTTCCACGACTGGTTGGATGGAAACTTACGGCACGCGGTTAAAATACCAGGGCGCCCGTGTATTTTCACATTTCCGCTGCCGACATCGGCGACGCGATCGTAGGTGGGGTACGTGTCTTTTATTCCGCGTAATGACGACGTGGACGTCTGCATGCGTCGCACCGACAGCATCCGCGTCCGGAAATAGTGATAGGGACACATTTCGGGGATCATTTATCCACCGATTTAACGGCGTTGGAGAATGCGGGAGTCTGAGGACACGTCATGTTAACACCAAAATGTTGCCTTTGAGGACCATCGTTCCGGAAATTGATGCGTGTTGCATGCGTCACGTTGCGTGCTAAGAAATTCGGCGTTTATTCTTCTCTTCTTCTTTTTTTTTTAAAGAAAAGTCCATTTGATCAAAAGACCGAAAATTGCGATCTAAAATTACGAATGAGAAAGTAATAACAGCCCTGTTTCGACTTTTTTCAAAGCTACTCGAAGTAGCTTTCACCGCGACGTTTCAGCGCAATGTCGTGCTCAAAATTAATCACGCCCGGACGAGCGAATAAAGTACGATATAAAAGACACGAATATTTTTCTTGCACGCGCAGCGTTGAAGACGCCACCGGCGTTTCACGAGCAACGGAAGCAGCTGGAAAGGGCGAAGACAGGCGATCTGCTGAAGGCGAAGATCCAGCAGAGACCAGGCAGAGACGAGTTGGTTCGGCAGCATATCCTTGAGGATGTAGGTCACGTGGATCCAAGTCTGGCAGAGCGGCAGCGAATGCTGAAGAAGGCCAGGCTAGCCGATCAACTCAACGATCAGCTCAGTCATCGACCTGGACCGCTTGAGCTCATCCAGAAGAACATCCTTCATACTGAAGAACCCATCGAGAGAGCGGTCAAAGGTATCTCGCGATAGCCTCCACAAAATAATTATGTAGAATTCTCAAACACTGATCGTTAGAATATATCAAAACTTTTTGCAGTATTGCTCATCATACTTAAAATTATTACGTAATTATTTTAACGATTTAGAAAAATTTCAGATTTATATCCAACTAAATTTTTCTGTATCTAACTAAATACTTTAGCAAAATTATTGTTTCCGTGTACATGTTAACGCGATATTTTATAACGAAATTCTTCCCTTAGAGGGTCACATTCCCTTCAAGGCCACCTGCGAGGGGCAGGTGACGAAACCCCAACATCCGGATCACTACATCACTTTCGAGGATGACTCTCAGAGCTCGGAGGGTGCGCCTTCGCCGCAGCTGGAGTCACGATCATCGGATGTTCTGGAAACTGCGGCCGCTTCTGCGGGCATTGTCACGGTTTCCTTGAGCATACCGTCGACCGGTGGTGCCGTTGTGGTTTCGTCGACATCACCCGTCTTCCAGCAGACGTCTACGGAATCGACGATACAGACGTTCGCCGAACTTTGCAACACCGTTGTAGGAACGCAGCAGCAACAGAGTCAGCAGCAAGTTCCTCAGCAACACACGTCTACGCAGGTAAGTTTTAGCAAGAAAATAATAATTAATATAAACATTTATCTTTTTACTAGATTATATACAGACATGCTTCATTGGAATTTTATCTCTCATATCTAGAATTAGCAGTTTTCGAACTTGATCTCTAAACGTTTATAGGCGACAATGGAAGCGTTAATCGAGCGCGACGAAGATTAATCGCGCAAGTCTCGATGACAATTTAGATATTTAAGAGGTCGCCGCAATTATGTCGATAGCGATCGATATCGCGTGTCAGTCGCATTGTGGAAGTTTGAAAAACAAGATGACCTCTCTTTCTCTTTTAATAGGCGAGCCAAACGACGAATGGCCCGTCGACGACCCTCTTACCATTGGCGCCGGCGCCGAGCCCGATGTCCCTGGGTTCTACGACGTCCAGTTTGAGCCCCCTGTCTAACATCTCGATAGCGTCGCCCCCGGCGCCACCACCGGCGGCGATCACCCCGCGGCCCCAGCCAAGCCCGATAGCCGCCGCCGCCGTCCCCACGTGCCAAAGGAGCGACGCCCCCGGGAAGGACAAGAACAGAAAGAAGTCGAAGACCAAGAGCCAGCCCAAGACCCGTACGATCAAGTTCCACGAGTATAAAGTAAGTTCACTTTCAATTTATTGTGTCAACATTTCGGCGACGAGAACAACTGTGTCATTCTGTGTGACTTGCACGAAGGAGAGCAACGCGAGGGCATACGTCGTTTTTCTTTTATCGCCGTGTTGCAAAATGATACTGTTGGTTCTCTCGTCGGGAGGTATCGATTTTATTACGCGGGGCATTATGTCTTCACAGAACAGCCATTGAATCGCGATGGAAGTTATTAAAGGGTATTCTCAAAGCATCGAGATTCTGACATCACTGTTCACGCTCATCGATCCATCGCGCGAATCTTTTAACGTAATAGATATTACGTAAGACAGTATACGATTGTCGATTGATTAGTACTACTTTCTTTTAATGTTTAATTAAAGAGTAATTTTGTAATAATACAGTATTAAATACAGTATTGAATCGGCGGTAATTTAAATTGATTTCTACATCAGATGCGTTCGAAGTCAAATCACTTCAATAATTAATTAATTTTTAATTTCGTAATTAATTTAGAACGATAAAACATTGATCTAAAGATTAGCGGGTATTATTACTGAAACGGAAATTTATGTAATATACGCTTCCTCCTTTTTTCCCCTTTCGTATTACGTAATTTTTTTTAGTACTTTTGTTTGGTGCATCGAAATTATCCGATTTAAGCTTAAATTACTCGGCGTTGCTAAAATTATTCAGTCATAAACTCGAGTCAAAAGATTTTAGCGGAAAAGTTTTGCTCAGTCGCGCAGCAGTGAGTTCGATAAGCGCATGAGAAACGAGAAGTGCAAAGTAGTTTTTAATCCGAAGTACGACCAGAATGTACACAGAGGTGTGCGATAATTATCGTGTACCCGGGACCGCCGGGTGGTACTACAAACTAGTGGCGGAGTGCTCGCCGGTCAGTGTGGGCTAACGGAGGGCCGCATTTCGGCGTGGCAACCAGCGCACGGGACAAAAAAACAAGACGGGCAAAAAGGACGACATGAGAGCAAGAAAAGGTGGTCGTGGTGGAGGAGGAGGAGGAGGAGGACGAGGTAAAAACGAGTACGGAGCATGGACCGTGAATCTCGGCTCCCGTGAGCCGCCGCAGAGAGCGGCGAAGAAGCGCAGAGAGCCCCGGTCTCTCGGGGCCCGGAGGAACCTCGGAGGTAGATCGTATCGGGTGATTAACTCTCGCGATCTCCCCAGAGCAGGGCTCAGGGCCCCACCTCGTTAGCTCTGAGTAATTCGAGCGCTAATTGCACCTAAGAGCGAGGAAGTCAGGGAGCGGGCTGCGCGGGGTTTTCTCCCCCGGACCCCGATAGACGTCGAACCGAATCGAGCCGCCGGGCCTCGAACAACGCGCGGGCCCCAAAACATCCGAGATATAGCGTGGCCGGTGTGAAAGCGAGCCGGGAATGGGCGTGCAAATGAGGGCGCAGAAAACATCTTGATGTATCATTTATCACTCGGCCTGGCCTGAACCGGAGAGCTACGTCACCTACCTACCTACCTACCTTGGTCTCCTCTTCACCGGGCGCCAGACAGTGATGTCAGGAAAATATATCTCAAATCTGTTCACGGGTCGCGAGCGCAATGTTACGTAAAGCGAGATACATAAAAGCGGGGTTTATTCGGGTTGCAAATTGTATATAATTGTTATAATAAATGGTTAAGCGCGCGTTGTATTTTTATATTTTTCTTACGTAATAATTCTTGCTACAGGGACCGCCAAACGCGCAGAAGACGCCAGTGTCGTCTAGCACTTCCGGTCTCGGCGCGCAACCCGGTGAGACCAGTTATGAGTTACTTCTCCAGCAGCAACAGCTGTTTCTGCAATGGCAGCTCGAGTGGCAGCATAAGGTACTGGTGCATGTATTGTAGCACATGCATTACAGTTAAAACTTTTTACAAACAAAATAATTATATATCTATCTCATATTTTAGATAAAATAATTTTTGTTTGTTTTTTAAAAGAACTTGTATTGTACCATCTCTCCCAAATATTTGCTTTTCAAATTTATATAAAAGTAAATTGAAAGATCTTTTTCTCCTTTTAATTTAGTATCCTCAAATCATCTTGCCGGCCGCACAAAAGCCGCTATCGCTCACAAGTAGCGGCGCGAGCGATGCTGGTAGCGTAAGCGGAAGTAGCGCGAACGCTGCCAGTCCGGCTCCGTCGAATTCTTCGAACAATCCTTCAGAGCAGCCCCCACTGAGGCCTTTGGGCAAACTGGAAGATATGAAAGGTATATTGAAATCGCATTAGAGAAAGATTGGTCGTAAGGAACAGAAAATTATTTAGTGTATCGCGTTTGTAGTGAGCGACTTAAAGGTGGAATTGAAACGACGGAATCTGCCGGTGTCGGGTTCGAAACCACAACTGATCGAGCGATTGAAGCCCTTCACGGAATCGTCCAGTAGCAACACGATCTCCAATTCTACTGGACCACATATGACGCATATGGGTCATATCCTAATGGACACGCCTGGCCCGATGGCGACGGATGATTCCAACTGTCAGGTCAAGAGCCCGAGCTCTATTGTGAAGGATGAACCGAGCAGCCCGCGAACGGCTTCGCCCCACAGTAGCGAGCATGAAGACCCGTCGAGTCCGCCAGGTAAAACGTCATCTCGATATCTCTTCGTTAGATTGAGCATCGCTTTAAGTGTTTGGTGTATGTACGAGAGGCGATGAGACTTTCGAGCGAGGCTGTTGATTCGAGAAACAGCACACGTGGGTGTTTTTACGACGCAGTTCGTGTTTCAGGAGATGATATCATCAAAGTGCAGAGGAAACGGATAGAGGAATTACAACGCGAGCTGTATAAATCGCAACAACAGCTTCAACAGATCCGTCAGACACAGCCAGCCACGGTGCGCGCCGAGAAGCTGGCACTTCAGCAACATATACACAACAAAATGCAACAGCAACAATTGGCTTTACATCTGCAGCAACTTCAACACTTGCAGCAGCAGCAGCAACAACAACAGCAGCAGCAGCAGCAACAACAGCAGCAGCAGCAACAACAACAACAACAACAACAACAGAGCCAACAACAGACACAACCGCAACAAGCTACGATTCATCAACTCAACGCGAAAGCGAGTCTTGCAGCTTTCCTGCAAGCGCAACCAAACAATGCCACTGCTATTCTTGACTCTGCTACTCTAACCGCAATTAATAATAAAAAGAATCAGTCTAAGAACAGTACTACTGTCCAAATACCTACGGCTATCGTCCTAAATTTGGCGAAACCGACAAAGCTGAATGGCTCACTTCTTGGTGCTCTCATGGCGCAAGCACAAGTTCAACAGCAACAGCAACAACAACAACAACAACAAACAACAACTACTGAAGACATCAAACCACCTCCACCGCAGTACGATGAAGCTGCTAAGTTACTGAAAGTACGATTATTTTTTATTATAATTCTAAGAAAAACAAAATTATAATTTCAAAATAAATTTTATAATATTATAATTTTATAATCAGTAATAAGTAATAAAAATTGTAATGTTCAAATTCTTCTAAAACTGTATGAATAACTTTGTCAATTGTCGTGTTTTATTTACAGGTTAAAATCGAACCAGTTCAAAAGAGTCACATAAAAAGTCAAGTAGTTGACGACGTATTGGAGATTCTGATCAAGAATGGCGAACTACCTCCAAGTGCCGCGCAAGATCCGGCAACTCCCACGACCCCGAATCGCCAGCTACAGCCAAATCTGGTCTTCACCGCGCCAGCGGACAGTCCAACTCAATCGTTAGTTTTTACGGCCAGCAGTCCAATGAGTCCGATTAGTCCGATACCGATGGAGGTGTCTCAGAGTGGTTGTCCGAGCCCATCAACGCCAGCACCACCGCCACCGCCGCCATTACCATTAACCGCATTCTCCATTCAGTTACCTACTGCACTTCAACAGCTACAACAGCAGGAGGAGATTACTCCCTTCGGCACGGATCTTCTAACCTCCGAGGCCGAATTGGACGCCGCGATGTTACTCAGTCCTCAATCAGTGCAACAAGCTTCCCCAGATCCTCAACCGTCACAAGAAGTGACTCCAGATAATGCAAATTTGGATCTCAAAGTACGTTTCCTAGAGAGAAAATTTATAAAAAAAAAATTAAAAATCAGCGTTATTTTTAAAACAATTATGATATTAACAAAATCGCAGATGGAATTAACATTTAAATTAATATTATATTTTTTAGGAACTGGGATTGGACTTGGAAACATTGGATCCAATGGACTTCGGTCAACTGGACTGCGACATGCCGATGGATATGGACGATCCCGATTGGTTGGATTCGCTAATGCCGCAATCGCCACCACCTTCTGCGACAATGCCATCGTCCAACCATCAGTCTATCACTCCATCAATCAGTCTCTCATCCACAGATATCTACGACCCGCTATTAGGTAGCAGTCAGTACTCATTTGATCTCTTTAACATGGAAGACTCTGACTTCAAGATGTCGACCGACTTATCTCCAATGACCTGGGATAAGGTAGACTTTGCGACCTAACCCGAGATATTCTCTTACAATCCGGCGTTATGTACTTAACTCTCGGTAGATAATCAAAAGTATAATTTGAGATAGACAAAGAAAAGCGAACAATGATTGCGTTGCTTGAGGTCTGTCCGATGCATTTTATATAAGTTGTTTTTCGTAACATTTTTGCCTCTGATGCATCTTGCATAAATGACGTTACGAATGTGTACTTATACGCGTGCGTCAAAACAAGAAGTGTTGATTTCGAAAGTATACCTACTTTAAAAAATAGGTACATAATCACGCGTTATTATAATTAACAATTAAGCACGAGAGAAGGCTGTCGAATTATGAACTAGTGTTTGACACACGTGTCATCTTTCGATCTTCTTCGAACGCATGTCATTCTTTTGATTGATGATCTATCAGAAAAATATCTACGTATATATAAAATATATAATACATTTATATATAAGATTTATATATGTATATGATATATACATATATATAACACTTATATGTATGTAAAATGTTTTTCTTCGTGGAATTAAAATCTGAAATAGCGATATGTGTGCGTGCATGCCGCTCGTATATAAAAAAGAAAAGGACCTAAAGTTCCAGGACCGAGAAATCAACTTTCAAAATTCTCCCAAAGAGTCAGCTTACGACAGGTTTTTTAAGTTAGTTTTTACTATCCAGTCGTGTGTTGCTTGGATTTTAATAACTGCGAGAAATAGCGTGTGCGTCAAATCAAGAAGACGAGAAACATTTGCGTATATGACCCCCTCGGATAATCCTCTGTTTCCAAATGCCTGCCCCTCTCCCGCAACCGTAATTAATCGTAACATAACTTTGCATAATTAAACACTTACAGAATCTAATATAACAATAATTATTGTAAAGATATACATACATACGCATATATACATACGTATACACATATGTAAAATATACTTCTACGTGCGCCTGACGTCTACGAGTCGTGTAACGTTTGAATATGCGAGTTCGGGGGCCTTCCAGCGCAGCTATACATATTTTCTAAGCCACAGAGCATGTGATGTTAGGAATTATTGCGTATTTTAATCGATAATCATAATAATAGCGATGAAATTGTAGGAATGGCTGCGCGCGCGAGCGAGCTACACAATCGTCACCGGGATCGGTTGCCACGGCGCGGTCCTTCGATTTTTCCACCGCGACTAGTAATCTTTTTGTTGTTTTGTGACATTCCATGTTTCCAAACTGTATGAACAAGAGAGATCGATGCCACGCGTGTCGCGAGCCGCAACCATTACGTACATCGCACGACGGGTGATCGCTACGTAATCGAAGGATTCCGTCTCGGAACATTGTATCAGACGATAGTTGTTTTGTGTGTTAAAAAAACGTTGTTCTACCCTGTTTTGAGACATTCCTCGGAGACCAAGCGGCTTCGGACTTTGACATAACAACGAGGGACCGCGCTGCCGATCTCGATAACGAGAGCTTATGTGTGTGTCTGTATGTATGTGTCTGTATGTATGTATGTGTGCGTGTGCGTGTGCGTGTGCGTGTGCGTGTGCGTGTGCGTGTGCGTGTGTGTGTGTGTGTGTGTGTGTGTGTGTGTGTGTGTGGGAGGAGATATATCTTAAAGAGCGTGATTGCTTGCCTGAGAAAATGCGAGGGAATCTTTAACTGTGACAAAACAAATTATGATAAATCATATCGTTAGTTAAAGTTTCACAAAAATACTTTGAGTAGATATATGAAACATTTGAATATTATACTTTCACATTAATCTTTTAAATACTTATTATTAACTTTCTATCTAAACTAATTTTTATACAGGATATCCCGAAATTCGAACGTAATATTATTGCACTTTAAAACTTTGTGTCTATGTCTATGAGATAATAAGTAACAGATGTTGTTAAAATTACAATTCAAGATTTCCTTAAGTGAGAGCATGTGGTAGTACGTGTTAATGTTTATGGACAGCGATGGTGCTAATCGAAACCCCAATACGCAGCGATCGAGGATTTTTCTAAAAAAAAAAAAAAGTAATAAAATAAAATAAAACGTCGCGGTTATTTTTATTCTTTTTTTTTAGAGAAGCACATGTAATGATGCCGCAACGTTCCGAATTGTCCTCGCAACCAACGTGCCTCGAAGTGTTGTTTTTTTCTTGCGAGCTTTTTAGTTCCACGCGGAACTGGCGTTACGTAGTACGAATAAAGAAAGAGAGAATGCTGTATTTAAGTTGTTAGTTTTCTGAATGTGAGAAAATTAGTGAGGTGTGTTCCCCACAGTCTCATTAGCGAAACACGGTACATTGGTCCGCGATCGTTCATTTCCTCTCCCGCATTCACCAGAGAAAGAGCAAACAAAAAAATGCAACATTCCAAACATATTCACGCTTCATGGAGAATTCTAAAGACCTCGAAGTACTGCCATGTTCCGTGTGCGCGAAAGCCCTGACAGAGGAGACGAGGAGTGCGATCGTGCGCCTGTAACGCATCGCCGAATCCGTTAAAGCACACGCGGAAATAATTAAGCCGGAACTCAGTGCATTTAATTAAAGGAACCGGTTCGTCTTCCTATCTTCTTCCCTCGCCTGTTCTAGCTCTCAGAGTCAGTTGCAGAAACATTCTTTTTTTTTTTATCGAACTAAGTATTGATTCTGTAAATCTTATGAATTTCATAATTTATTTGTCATGCCAAGAGAATCGATCGCTTATAAATATATTTTGTAAGTTGCACAGCATCAAAGGTTCTGTTTTACTCGTAGCAAACGGCTTGCGAGGCATCAATCAATTTGCAGCTGATTTGTCATAAAGGCTGCTTTTTTACTAATACCTGCATTTAAAATATTGCTATTATATTGCTTTCTTCCGTTGTGTTAGATTTATAGAAATAATAAATGCGGCCTGTGAAACTCGTCTGTCACGACAAACGGAACATGGCATCGAGGTGAGAAACGAAGGTGCCAAAAAAAGTATCCCTTGCTACAAGCATTGTGTAGAAAATCGTCACACTCGTCACCATCCGTTGCCTCATGACAATAAGAAGGATTTTATTGTTCTCTGTAAAATACTGTATATATATATGTGTAAAATATAATGAAAGAGATTGTGTGTGTTTTGTAGTAGCGAGCTTGACATAATGAATTTATTTAGGGTAATTGAAAGGCAATATTAATTAAAAAGATCATATTCTATCATAAAACGCCGCGTCCCTATCTTATCGAACTCGCGTCGCAACTCGAGCCACCATTCTTGGAGACGTTGCAATCGCGTAATTATTTTAAGTTCGTTCATCATGATTCTGCCGATGATTGATCGATCTGTCAGGCTGTGCGAATCTGGTAGTCTGTCGTGTGTGGTGCATCTGCAGTGTATGTGCGTATACGTATGAGTAATAAGTCTTTATGACTCGCGAGTGCGAACCAGGACGAAGTAAAGGCAGCCAAGCAAGGTGTAAAGTTTGTAAACCGATTGCATCTATACATATATACATAGCTTCGTCGAGTATATAACAAACCGTGCAGTTGCATCGACAGAAAAACGATAAAGAGATGCAGTAGCATCGCATACACACACACACACACACACACACACAAATACACACGCATACTTACATACATGCACACAAAAACACATGCATTCATATATACACATAAAAACACATACGCACAAATATATACATACATTTGGTATGCGCATTGCGTGCGCGTGAGGAGTGGTATACATATAAGTTTTTTGTTATTAAGTATCATTGAATTTATTGTAATGATATACTCTTAAGTAACGATCACGTAATTATTGCTAGAGAGAGTGTTATTTATTTTTATTTGTTGCGAATTTATCGATTGCCTTCCATTTGAGTAAAATAAATAAATATAAAGTTATTCGCTAAAGTGTTATTTCATTCTTTGCCTTCCTATCTTTTAATCTTGGATTGCAAATTCTTGGAAATGTTGAAAATTATTGGAATTTTAGACAACGCAATCTCCTTACCATTCTTCTGGCAGTGTTGATTTTGAAGAATTTCAATTCGAAAGTTTAAATTCTCGAAATAGTCCGAAATTATGATTCTTGAAGATATTAGAAAATTCTTGAAATTTTGTGTAGTACATCTTTCTTGCGGATTTTCGTGATACTTTATCGATTTTTCGAGAATTTAAATTCGATATTAACATTTGACTTTTGTTCATGATATCTGTGCATTAAAAGTATAACTTCAACAAATTAATTAATTATATATTTGCAGTAACAGAAACTAATCTCATACTTAAAGAATATGTACATTGTAAATGTATAAAAACCGAATTACATAATATTTCAGTATTTATGAAATACTTAAATGTAATGACATTTACTTTATATTAATTTCAAAGAATTTCTGAGAGACCTTCTACTTCCTCCGCTGATTCTAATCGGTGCAGAAACCTAAGAAAAGCTGACAATGTATGACTTTCGAATTTTCGAAAAATTTTAAAATGTCTTATGCGTTATTTAAATATTTAATGTCATTTTATTAATATATTAATAAAATGTATTATTAATATCTGTATGTTACTTGTGCAAAAACTTGTAAACTACAGTTTAATACGATATAAAATATAATTATATTTATAAAATTCAATTTAAGATAAGCATGTTAAATAATAAGTCTATTTTTTTCATATTAAATTGCTATTAAAATTGTTTTTTCCAGAAGATCATAGATTTAATATTTATATTATAAATACTTTCCAAAGCGCGCGCAATTTATCTTAGACTCGCACCATACCTATTACCGATACAGTGATTTTATCGCCAGTACATATTATGCAGTTTCCAAATCGAAAATTTATGTATTGGCGCTAGTGTAGTGGGAAATTTCCATGGCAATTTCGACATTTCGACAATTCTAACCTTCCAAACGTCAAAGTGTTTTGGAGTTGGTATTTGTAGGTTAGGCGGGATATTCTGTTTCTTTTTTTAATCATTATATAATTCGTGTGTTATAATTCTGTTTTTATTAATATACATATGTATGTACAGAATTGAGAAAATGTTGAAAGTGGGAATGCAAAATATAGAATTGATTCACTACATACATGTTGCAGGTTGGAAGTACTAACTTGGTATCAATCAGTAATAAAAGTCTTTTCGACTATTAAATATAATTATTAATTATTTTCCCAAGTAATAGAGTTTTTGTCATTAAATTAACTATATATTTTTATGTAATTGGATATAATGTTTATTTTATATACATACATATATATAGTATGTATATGTATTTAAAAATATAACTTAATACAATAGACTCGGTTGAATAAATCCAAGAAAATTGAAAAATGCCGATCGAGTCAGTACACTGATTGTTCGTGTGATTTAAAATAAAGCTTTATTGTATCTTGATAATAACAACGTTTCGATCCAGTTTCGGATCCTTTTCAAGTCTCAAAGTTCATATACTGAATTAAACATGTTAGCATTGTGCTCCCTAGAACACTGTACATTAAAAATAAATTAATAATAATTCTAAACAATAATACATTACATATATATTAAATTACTTACATGTAACAATCATAGAAAATAAAATACAAGTTGTCATGTGAAGAGTTAAACTATTTCTAATTACAAAGATTAATACATCAGTTGACATTGTCATATGCGAAAACAAAGTAAAGGATCATTGCAGAGAGAGAAAAAGATATTATTCTGTAAATAAGCATTCATATGCTTTATCTAACAATTCTGTTTAGAACAATTATTGTTTAGAATTATTATTAATTTATTTTTAATGTACAGTGTTCTAAGGAGCACAATGCTAACATGTTTAATTTAGTATATCAACTTTGAGACTTGAAAAGGATCCGAATTTGGATCGAAACGTTGTTATTATCAAGATACAATAAAGCTTTATTTCAAATCACACGAACAACCAGTGTACTGACTCGATCGGCATTTTTCAATTTTCTTGTATATGTATTCATTTATTTATTAGGAACAAAAGTTTGTAGCACGCTATTTCTCTTATATCATGTCTACATGTGTTTAAAAAAATTTAGTAATTCAATAAAGCAAAATTTTAAAAACATTTCTGAAAAACAATTTGGTAGAAAAAGTCTTAAGCTTTCATATTTAAAAATGTTTGTAAATTTTTATTGGCCACATGGCAGATCTATAAAGTAGAAAAGTTCCCATTTGTCTAACTTGTTTTCCATATCAAAAATTATCAAATTCAAATTATATAGTGACTTTTAAAAATAAAGATTTTAAGCTTTCTTAAAATTTCTTTTTTAAATTTAAATTCATTCATTCTTAATAAAATTACAATTGCGTGAATTTTGATAGTTTATAGCACTATAAACTTTTGTTTTAATACTATATATATATATATGTATGTATGTATGTGTGTGTGTGTATGTGTGCAAATTATGTATACATATAGTTATACACATAATATATTAATTTATATACTTTTTTTTTAGGCGAATGTCTGACAGCATCATTCAACGACTACGATTTATAATTGCAATAATGAAACGTAAAACCATAACTAATAAAACAGCTACTCCAAAAAGATATCATTGGTCGGCTAATTTACTTAAATCAATAGAGGATCCTGAATGTAAAATCAGAGAAGATGACAAGATAGTTGTTATCAAAGATAAATATCCTAAAGCACAATTTCACTACTTGGTTTTACCGAAGGAGGATATTCTCAATATATGGCATGTCAAGAAAGAGCATCAAGATTTGTTAACATATATGCATGATATTGCATGTGATCTGATAAAAGATCAAACAGATCTTGAATTCTTGTGAGTCTCAAAATAGAACGGTATTAATAGTAATAATATTAATAAATAGTAATTAATTCTATATATTTTTCATATATGACAAAATAAAAATGTACTTTCTCACATATAAATATAAAACAAATATGTATATTATATAAATATAAGAGAGGTTTATATAGTATATAAAAAATGTAGCATAAAATTATTTTTTTTTATATATATTTGAAAATTATAAAGGAATATTTATTTTTGTACAGTATGGGTTATCATGCGATGCCAAGTATGCAGAGGCTGCACCTACATGTAATAAGCACAGATTTTAATAGTCCTTGTCTTAAAAATAAATATCATTGGAACTCCTTTACGACACCATTCTTTTTACATTCGCAAGGTTTGTATATATATAATAACATATATTTATTTATATTATAATCTACATATAAAAACATATTGAATTTTAGATGTATGCCGTCAGTTGCGCATAGACGGCGAAATAAAAAAGATTTCCCGAGAGTTATGTACCGACTATCTAAACACAAAATTGAAATGTCACAAATGCTCGACACCGGCGAAAAATATGCCAGATTTAAAAAGACATTTATTAACACACATTAGTAAATGCAAACCATGAAAAGCGTATAATGTATAAATGTGTATAAATATAAAGTTGATGCCAATTATAAATGTATAATTTAAAACTTCTGTATAATAAAACTACGTATCAAGCGACGTGGTAGCGTCGCGACGCCAAGTGCATAAAAATTATAATTGCTTGATTTGATTGTTTGACGCGTGAACGTCATTGCGTATATGTTCGTGCCGCTGCTAAATTCGCGACGCTACTAGTAGCTTTATCTGGAGTTTTAACATCTATAAACTTTAGATTAAAATTACTCAGAAATTGAAAGCTAATCAAATCTAAAGACACTTTTATTATATAATGTCATCGGTATCTTTCGATTGCGACCAGTCTGAATAACATTGGTGCAGTTGATACCGAGATCTGCAGATCGAGTTCTGAAAAGGGACGATTTCAAGATTGTTTCAGTCGTACGCGTGACACATACATGTAAAGCGTTTTGAACTTCTAAATCAAAAACGAATATGAAATAAATGTAATCAACTAAATATTTTTTATTATGCAAGACACATAGGACAGACCGAAACGCAACAATCTAGAACCATGGTCCTATCGAAATATTCTGCAGATATACACAATATATGAAAACAATAATTCAATAAAGAAGAGATATTAATAAATTGCTTACTGAACTTATAAATTTGTTATTTATAATGTATCTCTAATATATCTATTTATTATTTCTTCATAATTTATATATCTATTATTTGTAAATATATTTTCATGTCCTATAAACTATATCACTATATACATATGTACATATTATATTTGTATACATATATCTATTATTTTTATATTTTAATTTATAATGCAAATACTATGTTGAAATAATGTTTTCACTAAAGAATTAATGCGACCCGGGCCAAGTTTTTTCTTCACTCCTATAATCCAGTTGACAATTTTAACCACTTCCGGTCTGTGTTATGTATCTTGCGTAATAAAAAATATTTAGTTAATTATATTTATTTTATATTCGTTTTTTATTTAGAAGTTCAATACCTTATTTATACACTTGGCGTATATATTTTTTCATTTTTAAAAAAGGTTTTTTAAGAGATAAATTATATTTAGAAAATAATTTTTTTGTATCTTTTGATTTATTCATAAGCTTGCAATCTTGAAACAGTAACGCATAGCAAAAACAAATATGTTATGCATATATATATGTATTATATTTATAAAATATGACATTTTTACGTTGCAGAGAAGATAATATCTTTTCATTGCGTATATGTTCGTGCCGCTGCTAAATTCGCGACGCTACTAGTAGCTTTATCTGGAGTTTTAACATCTATAAACTTTAGATTAAAATTACTCAGAAATTGAAAGCTAATCAAATCTAAAGACACTTTTATTATATAATGTCATCGGTATCTTTCGATTGCGACCAGTCTGAATAACATTGGTGCAGTTGATACCGAGATCTGCAGATCGAGTTCTGAAAAGGGACGATTTCAAGATTGTTTCAGTCGTACGCGTGACACATACATGTAAAGCGTTTTGAACTTCTAAATCAAAAACGAATATGAAATAAATGTAATCAACTAAATATTTTTTATTATGCAAGACACATAGGACAGACCGAAACGCAACAATCTAGAACCATGGTCCTATCGAAATATTCTGCAGATATACACAATATATGAAAACAATAATTCAATAAAGAAGAGATATTAATAAATTGCTTACTGAACTTATAAATTTGTTATTTATAATGTATCTCTAATATATCTATTTATTATTTCTTCATAATTTATATATCTATTATTTGTAAATATATTTTCATGTCCTATAAACTATATCACTATATACATATGTACATATTATATTTGTATACATATATCTATTATTTTTATATTTTAATTTATAATGCAAATACTATGTTGAAATAATGTTTTCACTAAAGAATTAATGCGACCCGGGCCAAGTTTTTTCTTCACTCCTATAATCCAGTTGACAATTTTAACCACTTCCGGTCTGTGTTATGTATCTTGCGTAATAAAAAATATTTAGTTAATTATATTTATTTTATATTCGTTTTTTATTTAGAAGTTCAATACCTTATTTATACACTTGGCGTATATATTTTTTCATTTTTAAAAAAGGTTTTTTAAGAGATAAATTATATTTAGAAAATAATTTTTTTGTATCTTTTGATTTATTCATAAGCTTGCAATCTTGAAACAGTAACGCATAGCAAAAACAAATATGTTATGCATATATATATGTATTATATTTATAAAATATGACATTTTTACGTTGCAGAGAAGATAATATCTTTAGACTGAAACACAATTTATGTATTATGTAAATTATATTTTTTTATAATTATAATATTATATATAATGTATTGCACTAAGGAAACTTTTTGGATTGGGATATGAAAGATTGATAAAGACATATTTATGCGATAGTTCGGAAGATTTATTCGGAATAAATTTGATGTTATTCTTAATACATCTTGGCGCCTATAATATCAATTATAACCTAACTATTTACAAAGTCTTCTCATAGGTTGCGCAAATGTATATTGACAGTATTTGTGTATTGTGTGCGTGTGTGTGTGTTACGTGTAGAGTGTGTTACATTTAATCTGTATACATTTAGTAATACTGTAATCAATAGTTGAACGTTTCTGCTGCATGAAACAGTAGGCATTTGAACATCCGCAAGAATTTGCTGTTATTACTTACGTTGTTTCGCAGATCGTAAACGATATCGTAACGGTGTAAGAATTTCGATTTAAGTATACGTCTCCTCTGAAAAACTTCTAGCCTACTTAAATTAGTTATATCTCTTCTCTTAGTAAACGTAGCGCCTTGGCGTGTCCCCTTACGAAGTCACGTCCAAACCGATTATTTCGCTATGATATAGTATAGTGAGAGGGGAAGGTCCGAAACGTACGGACCAAAGGGCGGCAAGAATCTTAGGAACTGTGCCGGACGAACGAAAGACGTCCGACAATGCTCCTTTTTCGGAAAATCGAAACGTGCCGTTGTGTACCCCCTAAAGAAGACGCGCGCGCACGTTCCCATCTAAAAGTTTGCAACACCTACACAAAATACAGGACCTGCAAAGTTTCCTCGCGATGAAAACGACGCGCGCGATCCGTTCTTCCTATCTCGTATACAGAAAAGAAGAAAAAGACTTCAACGAGATACGAGATCGGCGATCGGACTTGTAGTACGTACTATACTCTTTCTCTCTCTCTCTCTCTCTTCCCGGAAAAGAAGCACAACGTCGATGTGTGATATATTTACACAATGCACGGGAATATATTTGTTTCTGTATCGAAAAATATATCTTTTTATGTATGACTTCACGCGAGATATATATATATATATAAACCAAAATTCCATGACACACGTGCTTCGTTCACGGTAGACAGATTACGACGTGAAATCAAGACGCGATTCAGTTGAAGCAAAATTTTAAACTAAAAGATTAACATTTTCTCTCTCCCTGTCCCTCTCTTTCTCTCGCGATCGATTCTCACTAGAAAAAAGAAGAAAGTGGAGTCTGAGTCGAGACATTGACGGTGGTTGCTCGCCCGCTCTTCGTTTCCCGTCCGCTCACACCGTACGCGGCCCGCCAAAAGCGGTCATTTTGAGCAAAGCCACTGGGCAGCGAGGACAATGCCGATCCATAAAGAATCGCCATTTTTTCGAACATTGCACGACGCAACGCGCGCCAACCACCAACCGCCCTGATCATCCCCCGAATACCCTGTTTATGTCTGCGCCATGCGCGCGCGCGCAAGAGAGAGAGACATAGAGGAGAAAAAGATAAAGTTTTTCGTCAACGGAATCGCGATCGAGCCGTGCCAAGAATCAACGAGAATTAAATCTAAACGCGATTTTTTATCCTATAAACATTTATACAGTTTTTTCCCCCTAACTACAGATATTATTTACACATTATATAAATATTTTATATATATATACCGTACAATATATCTATATAAATATTTTCGTATGTTTAGTAATTTACAACTATATACACAATCGGACTACGGCTCAGTCGCGATATCGTGGGTCGAATCGCATCTCGATTTCTTTTTTTCTCCTTTATCAATGCGGTAGTACGTATTCACAATAAAGATATATATATACCTAAAAACAGCTAAGTCTAACGACAATAGTTGACGTATAATATAGAATATATTTAATATATATATATGTACGCAGTAACGTAGCAACAACGCAGTGGTGACGGTAGTAATAGTAATAGTAGTAATAGCGCTATATTTTCTAATAATATATATAAATATATAGTCGCACGGAGTGGTGTAGCGAGATAGTTAACTAGTCTGTAATCTCTATATACGAACGTCACGGTCCTTGACGCGTGGTATTTAAAAAGAGAGGGAAAAAAACGAAAAATAAATAATTCGAGGCAAGTAACGGTAGAAATAAATTAACGAAGCGCGAGACCGTGTTTAATTAAATATCTAATTTATACATATGCGAGGAAAATGAAATCGTAATACTCGTACGCCGGTCGCGGGCGATAATAATTTTCGTTCGAACACTACATAAATTATACCATAAATAATAATCGGACTGATGACGATATAAAACGAATTGGCGATACGCTCGAGAGCGAATTTTACTATAGCGCCTCTTAAAGCTATCAAAAACGAGTCTATATTAATCTAGAGTCCTTTTTCTCGGACATGTAAGTCTTTCGCGCGGGAGGAAAAACGAAATTTCTCGTTTCCTATGTCCCCTTTTTCTTCTTCGCCACCACTTCGAACGAACGTACGGAGGAAGGAACGTGCGAACACCGATCTCTCCCTTTCTTTTTTTTTTCGATATTTCCCAAGTCATCTGATCGCACACTCGAATCCGCGAGGGCCAGACGACGAGAAGCGTAATTAAACGGACGAAAAACGCCGTGGTAAGACAACGATATTTTTCCTTTTATTCTACTTACGTATCTACTATGTTACAAAGTGCTTTCACGCAGCCTGCTCTTCGTGGAAACTCGTTTATGATATTTACAGAGAATATTTATGAGAAAAGGGGTCGAGAATACGAAATACGCAAAGGGAGGGAGATGATGATGATGATGATAATGAACGTAACGAAGAATACTGTCTGTACACTGCGAAGAGAGCAAAGATCGCCCGGAACGTCGCGAGATTCCGAGGATCCTTTACAGGCGACGTAAAACGATTTCGTTAAAGCTGCGTAGTGTCTCGTTATCCTCCACGGCGTTTTTCGTTTAATTTTTCTTTCCCATTTTTTTTGGCTAAATTGACATCTAAACTCGCGCAGCGACGTTACCGCGCGCGGTTCTTAATTTCACCTAAATACGCATCGCGTTTTCTTCGCGTGTGTGTATGGAATTGGACTATAGTTACGAATAAAGTATACTACAATATCATCGTGCGAAGCGTGTTTTGCGCGATCAAGGGCGCCTCCGGCTGGCAGGATCCTTTCATTTCTTTCTGAGAACACGATTCGATCTTTTGCCTTTTTTTTTTATTTTAATTTTTTTCCTCGAAAGCCAATTCGCGTGAAAATTTCTGCTCGTGTGTGGGATCCGAATTATGCATATCGCGAGAATTGTAAACATCGAAATTTACAGGTGCGTGAACTT